ATTTAAAAAAACAAACCCAAAAATCTAATTATCTCTCCCTACAAAAAAAAAAGAGAATTGTAGTCAAATGCCATTTAGAGCAGCATCGGAGTTGGCCAGATGAGGGGCCAGCCTGTCCTGCCCTGTCCTCCACGCACCCACCTGGGATGGGGTGGCTCAAAGCCCCGGGCTTGTGGGGTATAGGGACAAGCAGAACCTCCCCCTGTTTCTGTACTAGGATTTAGGGAGCCTGAGATACTCCTGGAATTGGAACGAAAGACAAAGTTACATGGTAGAGCTGCTCGCATTGCAAAAAATGGTCTATAGACAGAGAGCTAAAGAGAGACGGCGTTCCATTTAGCAGAGTGCAGCGGTGTGAGCAGAAGTGACATTAATATCCAAACAAATAGCAAGGAATCAGAGCCACCATTCCCACTGCCTACAGCAGCCTGATAACAGAAAATGCAGAGGATGTGAAGCTGTGGAGATAAGTCCCATGCTCCGGGCCGAGGGTTCTCCCGGTGGCTCACAGCTGCCTGCCTCTTCTCAGTAAACGCTGAGGGGCTGGGGCGGCGCATCCCCAGGTGGATGACACTGGACCGGGCCCCTCACCTGCCCGAGCGTGACGACAGTGACCTCCCCGGCACGGTCGCAGTGCCGGATGCTGGCCACAGCACGGTAGGAGAGGGCAGCCCGGACCGTGGCTCTGATAAGGCCTCTTGTGTGTGTCTCATTACACCCTGGTCCCACCTGGACACTGAAGGCCAGGTCCCCTCTTCTCTTTACACCAGGAGACCCAGCAGCCTGGGCCACTGTTTCCACGTGGGTGTGGTCGGAGTTGGGGGGTCCCTGCTTCCCACCCCTCCATGCTTGTCTGGGTGCTGTCCCCCCACACGTGTCCCTCATTCCCTCACCCTTGGTCCACCGTCCGTGCCATTCATCCTCCTGTTTTCGAGGCTGCCATCTCTACCCGTGGCCTCTGCAGACATTTGAGTTTGTCTGCCCTCCTCCCCCAAACTTGCCCGCCTGCCTGGGCTAACTCAGAAGGAAAGAGCCCAAGGCCAGTCTTCCTGGGACCCAGTCTGGAGGCTCAGAATAGCAGGTTTAACCCGCTTGTCGCATTTGGAGCTCATCAGACAGGCCAGGTCCACCCACTGGAGGTTCCAAGAGGAAGAGGAGGCTAAGCATGGGGGTGAGGGCCAAATGGGGGAGGCTGCAGTGAAACCTGGGGGCCCAGATTGTGGCCTGGGCAGAAGGTGCGTCCCCAGGTGACTAGGAAGTGAAAGCGGGGTCCCCGAGCCCCACTGTGGGAGCAGGGCTGGGGGACCTGAGCAGGCAGTGCCTGGCACTTCTGTGGGTGACAGAGACCCCTGCCAGGCCGAGGGGCTGGGGGCCATCGAGTGCTTCCCAAGGGAGGGTCATCTTGATTCTCAGGGGACTCTGGTGTGGCGCCTTCCAGGGAAACTGAAGGAGTGGAGCCTCGTCTTGTACGGCACGGCCGAGCACCCCTACAACACCTTCAGCTCCCATCAGTCACGCTCGCGGATGCTGGAGCTCTCGGCCCCCGAGCTGGAGCCACCCAAGGCCGCCCTGTCACCCTCCCAGCCCGACGTCCTAGAGGACGACGAGGACTACACAGGTATGAACCTGACGCCAGAGGAGACGGCTCGCCTGGCGAGTTCTGGTTTCCCAGTGCAGCTCTCCAGATGCGGGGCTGTGCCTGGCAGGAGGCGGGGGTGAGGACTGGAGGTCTCCCTCCCTGCCTGGAAGTCGTAATAATGATGGTGATTTGCACCCACACAGCTCCTCCCACCCACGGCTCTCCTAATATTTTACAGACCAGTAAGTATGCTTCAGACCAGTAAGTACCGTTCCGCCTGCCCAGGCCGGGAAATCGAGGTTCCATATGCCCAACCAGAACTGGGGATGTGCCCCCTGGTGGATGAGACCCCCTGCCCTCAGGGACCCCCTGAGTCTCACGTCTCAGCCTCCTGACTCTCTCTCAAGTCCACCCACTTTCAGTCCTTGTGGCCAGATCGTGGGATGGACCAGGGTCCTGACAGGAGCCCAGGATGGTTGGGTTAATGAGCAGAACTGGGAAAGGAGCTGGCCGTGGAGGTCTTGGCCAGGCGGTGGAGGTCTTAGCTGAAAACCCAGGAGAGGGTCTCGAGATGGACATCAGTGGATACTGATGTGACACAAAACGGCTGAGGAATCTCGCCGGAGGTCAAGCTGCCTCATTGCAAATCGGAGAGCCAGGGCGGCGCGAGAAGGCACGTTCCCGGCCGCTGGGCTGGGGCAGTCTTGATTAGCACGCTCGGTAGAAAGCGGTTCCTTTCCCCACCAAACCGTCCCGGTGATTTGTGAGAAACGGGGCCTTTCTGGTTGGGCATATTTTCCTTAGCTAAATATTACGGCTGTGTGATTCGTGACGGATGGTATCTAAGAATATTGATGCTTTGAGTTATCGAATAGCTTCTGGAACCAAAGAAAGGAACAAAATGGGGAATTCCACCAATACATCTCAGGCATAAATTATGGCCAATTCAATTTCAAATTTCTTCTACCAGCCCTTTAAAATGGAGCATTGAATTATGTATGGACTAATCTGCTCTGTGGCCCCCCCGGTGATTTATAAACTGCAGCAAGATTCAGTAATTATTAATAAAGGACTGATTTTTTCCCCCTTAAAATCTGCTACTGACTAACCTCACCCTCTCTTGGAATCTCACCGTAAGACTGTTGTGCGGCTCCAGCCGTTCAGTCCTTCCTGAGCACAGCCTGGATGGTTAGGGGGCTGTCTCTCTGGGATTAGGATGTGTTCCTGGTGTTGGAGGAAGGTCTTGGGGGCCAGTGGGATGGGAGCTCCAGTAACAGCAGGAAAAGCCAGAGACGAGCGAGAGCAGAAGGCCACCATGCATGGAGGGCATGCAGGGGGGTATCGGGGGGAAGCCACGTTGGACCCGACCGCAGTAACGGGCGTCAGGAGTGGAGCACCCATGTGTAGAGCCCAGAGGTGATGGGCAGGGGGGATTTTGACGCAGGGCGATGGTGATTAACTTTCTGTAGAGCTTCAGCACACAGCCGAGGGGGCCAGGGCAGGAGCTTGCAGACTGACTACATGGCTAGGAGGCTTCTGGAGAACTCGGAGGGCTGGTCACAGGCAGACAATGCACGGTGGGGGGGCAGTCCCAGGGTCCAGCAGCAGGGGTGCCTAGCTGCCCTGCCATTAGGGCAGAGAGCTCTCCCTGGGACAAGGAGTAAAGGGGAGGAGGGGAACAGGTGGGCAGGGCTCGTGGTGGGGGAAGGCATCAGGAGAGCTGCCCTGTGAAGGGGGCAGCTGTGAGGTGGACGGGAGGTAGGGTGCTCGGCTGACGTGGCTCCCTGGTAAGAGGGCGGAGCTATTGGCCAGGCAGAGGAGGGTGGGAGGCCTAGGCACTGGTGGAGTCCGGGGTTCCTTAAGGTAATGAGGGTGTGGAAACCCAACCTCAGGGGAAATCTAAAAGATCAGGAGGACTGGGGGGTCCTGGAGGAAGGGCAGTGCCACGGCGGGCCAGGTGATGTGCCAGTGGCTGAGGCATCAAAGGTGGGGCTTTGCAGTGACAGCCAGTTTGCTGGGGCTGAAGAAACATGGGGGCCAATGGCCAGCATGGGGTGGCTGAGACTTAGGCCCCCAGGGACTCACCTGGGTTGCCTGGTTGCAGGGCAGGTCTGGGGCATCCCCAGAGATGGATCCCAGGGCTGGGAAGCTGCACTTGGAGGACTGCCTGGGTGATCTGATGTTGGGGAGCAGAGGAGTCGCCTGATGGTGGAAGCAGGGTGAGAGAGCGTCCATGAGGGAAGGAGAACGGAGGCAGCCAGGACTTCAGGAAAGGAGGACACACAGGCTGAGGACAGGGTGGGCAGTCACGCAGGACTGTGAGAGGAGCCAGAGCCCGGGCAGCCTCGGCGTGGACACGTGGCCCAGGACAACGCGACGGTGCAGGGGCTGATTCCCCAGGACGCGCGGAGCGTGCAGTGCAGGGCTGTGTCAGTCACAGGCTCACGGCATGTCAGCACCCACTCAACAGACGGGCTGAAGCTTTAAAGAACGTGCCATGGTCCCCAAGAAAGAGAGCAGACCTGCAATGAGGGGTCTCTGTGCAGTCAGACTGATACTTACTGAGCCTTGCTGCTCCTTCAGGAATTGGTCTGAGCACAGAATAAAACCCATTGGGAGACACCCCCCCCAACACCCCGCCAGTTGCTTCCTAACCTTTGTTCATGTATGTTTTTCATCCTGGATTTGCTCCACCCTTGACAGGAGAGTTGTCAGTAAGCCCTAGTTGATCTGACACCCTGCAGAGGGGAGTCAGCTGTTAGGCAGCCGGTTCAGCACAAGAGTCGTGCTTCCCTGGGAGCTGGAGCCCTGGGAAGTGAGGCCAGAAGGCAGTGAGTCTTTGAGGAACGTTCAGGCCAATTGTGCCAAGAGGAAAAGTAGACAAAAGTACAAACTGCAACACAAATAACGTCCACTCGCCCAGAGAGTGAGTCATAGCCGTGCTGACACCCACAGGCAGCCTTGGGAATGATGGAAGGTTTGGGATCAGACTGCCAACTGGGTGGATTTCATTCAAGAATGTTTCCTGGAAGAGAAGAGTCTTGCTGCTGGGCTTTTCGAGATAATTCTAGTGGACAGCCGTACTGGGGAGGATGCGTACGGATATTTACCGAAGCATCCCAAGTGGGTGGCATCTCACCGAGCTCTCCGGCAGGGAGGGGTGGGGGTGTGGGGCGGCTGGACCAGGGCAGTTACCAGGATGCCCTGTCTGCCTTCTGCCACCTGGCTGTTGGGTGGACCCTGGCCTTGCACGGGGCTCCACACCGGGTTCGTGATTTACCTTTCCAGCACAGAGAGGCCTGGGAGGGACGGGGCTCGGTCAAAGTCCACTCACCATGAACCAGTGGCTAGAAGCACGGCTCCGGGTCTTCCTCGAGGCCCTCCCTGTCCTGGGACACTGGAGAACACTTGTGGACAGGAGGGTACCCACCCCTCCCCAGTTTCCACCCTTCCATCCGTTCACTCACCCTTGGCCACTCACAGATACATTTATGGAGCACCTGCCTGTGCCAAACGCCCTCCAGGTGCTGAGGCTTTGGCAGTGAATACGCTACACCAACTCCTGCCCTCAAGGTGCTTTCTCTTCCCTGCCAGGGAGGAGTGAGGAACGTGGTCTGTCTCCCCCGTCCTTAGCTCACTGAGGAGACTCTTCACCTTCTCAAGTGAGATAGCCCTGCCTTGGGGAGAGGTGGCTGCGGGGGACGGCAGGGACGTTGGGCCAGCCGGGCAGGAAGGCTGGACCTGGGAGCCAAGCTCCTGGTCTTCAGTGCATGTGGCCCCGTGAAGCAAGGGTTTCCAAGGACATCTCCACCAACGGTGGGGGACAAGGTGGGCAAGACCCAAGCAAAGGAGCATTGACAGCAAAACCGCACACCGGTCTGGGGCTGGGGAGGGGTGGGGGTTGGGCGTGGTGGGCCTGGTGCTGGAGGGTGACCTCCAGCGAGCGCCCTCCCCACTCCAGACTGGGAGGAGCGGTCTAGAGTATCCCCAGGGACGGACTCGGCTTTGAAAGGGGTTCATGGCCGGACCCACAATGAAAACTTTGGAAATAGCAACAACACTAAACCTTCGGGGAGGGAAGCAAAATACAGCGGGTCTAACACTGGGAGGGTCTGGAGGCGCTTTAAAGACGAATGAAGAGGGCTTTGTGTGGCTCAGCAAAGACCCATTGTGGGCAGAGAGAATGGGGACTTTTGTCTTTCCCTTGCGTCCCCATGAAATGCTGGTGGCCAGCAAATCACCTCCTCTTTGCTTCGGAACTCACTCCCCACCCCCTCCAATAACTCAAACCTTGTAGAAAAGGTGTTTTTTTCTTCCAAAGACTTGAAAGCATTTCTATTGCCACCACAGGGACCCTGCGCAACCTGTGGAGGTTTTCTGGAGCCGTTTCCCTATGGAGGAGCGGGGAGGGAGGACGGGGCAGGTGGGGGTCCCACCACCCTGCCGGCTCTGGCCCGCCACGGCCACAGTCACATTCTTCAGGCCGGGAGAGAGGGACACCTATGGACAGGACCACCCGGGCCTAGGGCTGATAGCCAGTCAAACTGGGCTCCTCCCGGTGGCACATAGCGAGGGGGCACCTAGATGGGGGTGGAGGGCTTGCTAAGGTCCCCAAGCTCTCTGGACTTTTCTCCATCACTTTGCCAACAGCACACAGGCTCCCAGAGGTGGAATTTGGGGATTGAGGGAAGACAGAGGTAGCCCACATCCCCCTAGACCCTCCTGGGACAGCCACACCGGCGGTGCGGGGGGCGGTCTTGAGCACATGGGAACCCACCTGGCTCCACCGCCACGTGCAGGGAGCGTAGCGGGTTTCTCTCCCAGCCTCTCCTGCTTAACTATCATCACTGCTTGGCTGCTGCTTCCCTAACGCCCTGCAGCCTGTGGTGCCCAATAGTGCATTGCTGCGTCCTTCAGAGGAATCAGAATTGGCCGCTGGTCTAGCATCGTGACTCTGATGCCGGTGGGGGTGGGGAGACACTGACTAAGGCCGCCCCCTGGCCCTCCAGCTCCTGTCCCAGCTTCTTCTCTAGAATCGCACAGTGCCCGTCTCTTCCGGGATTGGGGTCCCCACCCACTGCTGGCTGCTCTTGTTCCTGGGCCATCCCTGACTGGAGTCATCAGACTCTCTGACCCCAGATCCCTGAGTAAGGGCTGGATCCCCGAGGGGGTCGGTGCTCTGGCGCTGAGGCCCGGCCATTGGCCCCAGCAGGGCCCTACCAGGGTTTGAGACCCGGACACAGGGTCCTAGGGGACTGGATGTGATTGAGAAGGCATCTCTATGGGTGAAAGGAAATGCTTGTTTCTTTAAGGTGTGTGCCACCCGGAGTGTGGGAACAAAGGCTGTGATGGCCCCAATGCTGACCAGTGTTTGAACTGTGTCCACTTCAGCCTGGGGAGCGTCAAGACCAGCAGGTAAGGGGGCTGGGCAGCCTCTGCATGTCCTGGAGACCCTTGGCATGCGGTGGAGGTGCCTGTCCTGAGCTGCATTCTTCGCCCACCCCCCACCCCCAACCCTGGCCTGCTGCCCTCCTGAGAAATTAATTCACCCTCCTAGAAAGGAGATCACGTTGGGGTTCATGGCTTCAGAACTGTAGGTGTTAGTAACCTCTCATTCTCAGCACACACATAATTCATGACCACGTCAGAGAAATCAGAGGCTGTGGCACCATGGTGTCCATACTGCTAAACTTTTTTCTCCGTTTTGTT